CTACAACCATGGTGCTTCTTAGTGCATTATTTGAGGACTTCTTGTCCAATGGAAATGAGAGTGATTGTTGGAAAAATCAAGTGACAACAGAAACTTCCACATAATATCTCACATCAAAAGTTGACAAAAAGGTATATAAGAGCCGTAGACCAATCTTTCTCAATTTGTTTTAAATTGGAAACCATGAAACTTAAAAACTTAGCAGACCGGGTTCACGGGTTTTGTAAACCGCGTTCTTTCGTGATAACTTGAACCGGGTTTTCAGATAACATGTTCCAAATAGTTTACTCGCATAAAGCCTAACTATGTGCCGTTTGTCATCATGATTCGATAGAAAGAGCCTAAGTGCTTGGTGTTTTGTTCAGAAACGAACTGTCTGCTGTTTTGTTTTATAGACCATTGTATAAATAACAATAGTGTAATTGATTTTGACTGTCCACAATCTCTCTAACAAAAACTCAAGGATGACCAAAAATGAGTTAATGTACTAAAGAGAGCTCTTCTAACAATCTGTCAAAAGTTATATATATATATATACTCATATCTGTTTCCACTATTATTCCCCGATCTAATCTGATTCCTTACATTGCAGCTTTTCCAGCTCCTTTGGGCATTTTCTTTGATGCAGCTGAAACATATTGAAGATGGGTTTTGTGTTTAGAGATCGAAAGATTCGATTCTACAAAAGACAGACTAATAAGAAAAAACGTATATTATTGGACAGAGTTTAAAGAATGTTCATACCATCTTCAACGTCCTTGAGCTGGTAGTAGTGAGGAGCTAACTCTATCAACCAATCTGGCTTCAACTCCGTTACCTGCATTTTCAGGTTAAATGGAGAGTTTAGCGTCTGAACAAACCGATGAATGAAACCAAAGAAGTAAAACCGAAAATACTCCAAGATAGAGATCCGATAATGATGATGAAATATATTCAATACCTGCCGCATGTATTCCTTGGAGGTAAGGACTAGTTCATGATATACAACCCATCTCGGCATTACCTACAATAAGCATTGAGAATAATTCATCAATATTAAAAGTTGCAAGTTCTATCGAATATTCAGCTGTTTGCTGTTATGTACTGAGATTATAGATTAACCTGAGATAAGCCTGAGTTGGGATGTATGTGCACTGTCTGGGGATGCTTAACAGTTCGATATGATCCATTCTTCTGCAGCTTTGCAGTGTGCGGAAAAAACCCTGAGTAAAAAATAAGAAGATCATTAGCAGAGACAAAATTGTAAGGGAATTTTTATTTTTAAAAATGAGTAGAAGAGTATGGAATTTACCGGCTACAATGGATTTCCTAACAGTATCCAAATCATTAAGGTTTGAGCTGATTTCTATTTCCACTCTCTCGAGAAGTCCCTCCAATTGATCACGGATATCTCTGGCTCTTTTCATGCTCCGGACCTGAACAAAAAATCAACCCAAAACATGTGTCAAATGGGTTCAGATCTGATAAGACGAAATGATACACATAGAGAGACAACTCAGGTACCTGAATATAGTTCTCATAGCACCACTGAGTAGAGTAATTTGTTTCCTTCCATGAACTGTAAACCTTCAAAAACAACGATGACGATAAGCATATTGAGATAGCACTATAAGCTAGTGG